TCTTGCGTGAGTCTATTGTGTGAGTTTAGTGTTAGTTTTTTTTTTTTTTTGGTTCTATTGTGAAGATAAACACATATTAATTATCTGATTTGGTTTTGTTTGAGTTTTTTTTTTCTGTCTGTTGTGAGAATTTTGTTTAAGTTTGTGTTTTGATTATACTAGGTGTCTTCTCTCTGCCTGTTTAGTGTCTTTTCAATGCTTGTTCGAGTTTGAGTTTGCTGATTGAGACTCTCTATTTTTTTCCTCTTGTGTGAGTCTTTTGTGTGAGTTTAGTGTTAGTTTCTTTTTTTTTGGTTCTGTTGTGAAGATAAACACATGTTAATTATCTGATTTGGTTTTGTTTGAGTTTCTCTGGTTTATTCCTCTTGTGTTGTAGGTTTGGTTATGACAACTCCAGCTTGACCCGTAAGATAACCAAGATTTTCACCAAGAAGTTTAATAAGCCATTATATAGCTGGTCATGTGTGCCTAGAGACAGACAAGAAGGATACTTCCTTGAATTTGAGGTAACCTTCTCTGTCCTTTACATTTTGTTTATAGTTATTTCTGTTGTGATGATTATTATTAATACATAGCTTTTACTTTGACATGCGGTTTATATAGTTCTTTCTTTTGTGATGATAACACATATTTTCTTTGTTGTTTTGTAGAAAACACACACATGGAATCCCATGTTAACCGATCATGTTCAAGAACACTTTGAATCCATTTGTCAGCTTCGAATGAAAGGTATGGTCAGTGGTGTAAGGACCTCTCGAGAGCAACCAAATTGGATAGGGGATACACTCTGGAAAGAAATGACTGCTTTTTGGGACACTGAGAAAGCAGTGGCAAAGAGCCGCAAAGCATCAAAAGCTCGAAGGTCTGAACGTAATGGTCTTAAAATATACAAGAATAACACAGGGAAAAAGTCCTATATGCAAATCGAACAGGAGCTGGTGAGTCTCATTTTCTTTGTCTCGCTTTCTCTAACACTTCACTCATGTATGTTTATCATCCATTTCATTTTGGGAAGACCTGTGAGTTTTGGTAAAATATTCATCAAGGCTCATACAAAATCAGATTGAACCTATGTCGACTTCAAAGCAAAAAAAGTTGCTGAGGTTTACAAAAAGAAAAAGAAAGAGAGGTTGACTAACCTTGAGAAGGATAACACTGAAATCTCAGATGAGGATCATCCAATGCTATTAGTAGAAAAGGACAATGAGCTGTTTATTCAGGTAGTGTTTTTAAATAAAAAATATTTTTCAGTCTTGTGTTTGTACATTGAGAGTTTGGATAATGTTTTCTAGCTTGGAAATTGATTTTTAATGACTCTCATTATTTTCTTTTTTGTAGTCAACCTTATGCGACAACCTTATGCGACAGGGGAGACCTTTTTGGTCTTGGAAGCCTGAAGAATAAGCTCAAGAGAAAACCAAATGACCCAAGAAGCTCCTCGTCTTTCATGGACATGCAAAAAAAGATTGAAGAAGCTGAACGTAAAATATATAAAGGAACAAGCAGCCCTTATTGCGAAGGCAGGGGAAGACCATACTCGGGAACAAGCTGCTAACCAAGCTAAGATGGCTGAGTTCCCCCTTATGAATAAGTTTATGCGTGTGACTAACTCGAAATACCTTGCTTTCATTGCCAAAGAAGCATCATCTCCAGCTCCTCCTTATCACTAAAAGCTAACTTGTGTTGTTTTAGCTTCTCATAACTTAACTATCTTTTGGCATTTTGAACATAAAACAACTCAAGTGTTGGAGTTGTTTTATGATCTTATGTATCTTTTTGGTATCTAGGATTCCAAAAAAACATATTTACTAATTTCAGTTTCTTCATTTAGCATTTGTAAAAAAACTAATCTCACAAATAGAAACCCAAATGAACCAAAATATATAAATATCAAATCCCAAATCTGTGTTCGTATTTGTTCAAAAACAGTACTTCCGTAGTCACTAATCAGTTGCATAATCGTGGGTAAATTGGTCATTATTCAGTCACTATTCAGTCGCTAAATGTACCGTCTATTTAGCAACTACGTATTTTTAGTTGCTAAATACGTCACTAAAATAGTCGTTCGTCGTTCGTTAATTTAGCGACTATTGCACGACGGATTTTTGGGTCGCTAAATACCAACCAATCTACGACTAATTTATTTAGCGACGAAGACTATAACGATTGCCTTAATCAGTCGCTAATCAGTCATTAATCCTGATTTACTGACTGATTACCTACTAATCTTGCAGTAGCTAAAAACATGTTTTCTTGTGGTGTCAAGTGAAGAGCCAAGACAAGTCACCCAAAGAGGAGATGGCAAGGAGATTGTAAAGGTAGATGAAGGCAAATAGGGACAAGAAGACCTCATGGTGTTGTCTATCTTACAAGGCTCACTTGATACTCCTATAATGTAGTCATACTCTCATTGTGAAACCTCAATAAAGTTATGGGATACATTACAAAAGGTTTATGGAAACACTTCAAACCAAACAAAAATATTTGAGGTGAAAAGAGCTATCAACAATCTACAGCAAGAGGAGATGGACTTCACCAAACATCTTGGGAAGAATAGTCAACTGTGGGCTCAGTTGTAAATGCTGAGACCAAGCACAACGGACCCCAACACTCTTGAGGCAAGGCGTGAGCAAGATCTTTGGACTGCTCCTCACGCTTAACCCAAGCTTTAATGATATTCTCAAGCATATCTTGAGGTCCAAGGAGTTACCAAGCTACAATGAGGTGTGTTCCCAACTTCAGAAGGAGTTAGGTTCAGATGGATTGCTAGGTGGAAAGGGAACTCTGTTTATGGCAAGCAAGGCTGAGAAGGTGGAAAATGCATCAACAAATAAGTCCTATTTCAAAGCAAGAGGTGGAGGAGGAGGAGGAGATCGGCAAGTGACATGTGACCACTTTAGGAAGATATGTCATACTAAGAACAACTGTTGGATTCTTCACCCACATTTCAGGCCACCTAAACCTACTCCGGCAAGAGCCCATGAAGCCAGGACGCATGAATCAAGCAATGCACCTATGCGCCTGGGTGAAGATGGAAGAGCCATGGTTTCAACAACTCATGTGACTAGAACTACCTCTCAGTCCATGTCTCAACTCCACAATGATGATGCCTCCATCCGCAAGTCAGAAATTGAGGCTCTCATAAAAGCTCTCAATGCAAACTTTGGTAACACAAATATTAATGCTTTAAATTCTATACATAATGCATCTTCATTCACTAGACCATTGGTAATTGACTCAGGGCATCTCACCACATGATTAGAGATGCTAAACTTATTAATAATGTCAAACCAGCTATAGAAAATGGGGATAGAATACTCATTGAGGGAATAGGCAATCTAAACCTAATTGATAAAGAAGCTGAAGCTTTATATACGCTTACTTTTACATATAATTTGTTGTCGGTCAAAAGAGCAACTAATGATCTTAATTGCAAGGTGATTTTTGGTCCTATTGAGGTGTGCTTTCAGGATATTAAAACCAGAAAGCTTCTGGGAAAAGGTGTGAGTAAGAGAGAGCTTTATTTACTTGAAGACACCAAGCTTACACCAAATTTATCTTGTGCTTTTAATTCTGCTTCTGTTTTAGATAATGATGTTTTATGGCATGCTAGACTAGGCCAACCTCACTCTAGAGCACAAGGGCTGATGTTACCCAATCTTGATTTTAAAAATTAAAGTTGTGAGGCTTGTATACTTGGGAAACATTGCAAGTCAGTATTCCCCAAGCCCTTAACTATCTATGAAAAATGTTTTGATCTGATTCATTCTGATGTATGGACTGCCTCTTATTAAACAATATTTTCAGTGCATCTACGTAAGCGATTATTGAATGGTGGGGTTTCAGCTTATATCATATTTTTAAAAAAGAATCTCCATGTGAAATCGAGGTCAGCCATATACGTAAACGTGGGAACCATAGCCCAAATGGAAAGCAAAGAAGTTGTGGAGATTGCTTGGGGCAGTGTAATAGTATCCAACCTTTTCTATGGGGTCATTTGACCAGGGTCTATGCTTGGATCAGACGGGATACAGACCTTTCCGAATGAAGTTAATACAATTGCCTAAGAAAGAGAATATATTGTAAAATGTGCACCGCATATAGAAGTAATAAGACATGTTGTAGTGGGAGGCTTCTGGAACCACAGTGGATGGAACTCAACATTCAAGAGCATTGTGAAAGGAGTTCCACTGATTTGTAGGCCTTTCCAAAGAACGCAGTGTACATAGTAAGTGTTTGGGAAATATAAATTCAACTGGAAGGTGAAGTAGAAAGAAGAATTGTCGTGGCAGATGTAAAAAGGTAGATTGCGGATGAAGAAGCTGCAGAGATAGGGAGAGGGTATCATTTTTGAAAGAATTCTTCCCTTTCTTTCTCCTTCTCCGATTCTTCTTTCTCTTTCTCTTGATCTTCTACATCCTTAGTCGGTTCTTCTACTTCATTCTCCTCCGCAACTCCCACGGTTCCAACAAAATCAACCGCCAGTGATTCCTCATCCGTCGTTTTTCTCTTCTTCGAAGTCTTCTTCGGTTTGTTCTTCTTCGAGTTCTTCGAGGTCCCGCTCTTTTGCGGAGGAGGATCCGTTGGAGGAGGCCTATCATTTCTCTTATCCAGCCTAGTTTCAACCATGATTCACACGTTTTCGGTGAATAATCGAAGGGAAATCGAAGGAATCGAAGTGGGATGTTTTAGAGTTACGTTTTCGAATTTGGGAATTTAGGGGAAACCGTTGAGGGGATTGGGGTTATTTGGATTCGGGTTCGAGATGGTTAAAATCAAGATTGGATCGAGATGGTTTAAGTTGGATTGGGGACGGTTAACATTGAGTGGCTATTTGGATTCGGGTTTCGTTCGTATTTCAATTCGATTCGATTTTCCCTCCGGTTAAATTTGGTAAAACCTGTAAATAGTTTATCTTCCTTAGGGTTAACTGTAAATTCCAGCAATTTACCATTTTATATTTTTTCCTTTTTGTTTCATGTCTTTGGAAGATTGATTGAGGAGGAGGGTGGGTATCAGAGATGATGTCCCGACAGTATTCCACCACCTACATAAGCTAACAAGCAGTGAAATCCAAAATCTCAATCCGTTCAGATGGCAGCCGACGATTCACCGGAGCTGAAATCTCTGGAGGCGTTGATTGGTGCTTCTCTCCCGGAGAATATCTCGAAGCTATCTTCTACCTCTCATGCACTTCCAGCGAATAACGATTTTCATTTTCTCTACAATTTCGATAAGTTCAAGCGTCCGATTGATGAGATTTCTGGGAGCTCGCAGTGTGTTCTTGAGACAATAGGTAGCTGGGCGCACTTCTGTGGGAAAGCGATGAGAAATTCAGGGGAAATTGTCGGAGATGATGCGTATTACTGGCTTGTTAACCTGAACGATGAAGTTCTCCAGAGAGTTGATGAGGGTCTAGATTTGTATTTGGAAAATGCAAAGAAGAAGGAAATTGATTCGAAACATGGAAAGGCGAAGGTTTCTTTCCACATTGCAACCATAAAGAAGCCTCAGGAGGAGTATAAGATTTTGGTGAACAACACAAATGTACCGTTTGAGCATGTTTGGTTGGAGAAGAAGGAGAACAGTTTCGGCTTTATTCATCCAGTGGTTAGTTTACATCTTGAGACTGAAAAAGTAGTTTTTCTTGTATGATTCTTAACTGCCTCATTTAAATATCTGGAATCTTAATCTTTGATCTTCTCTGCTCTTTTGATATGTGTTTGCAATACTATACAGGAGCAACTCTCAGTTATGGACTTTATTGATACAAATATATCAGAGATAAAACCTGTTGATCCCCTCCCTTTGGAAGGAACTCCATTCAAGCTTGTTGAAGAAGTGAATGATCTGAAGGATTTAGCTGCAAAATTGTCTAATGTTGAAGAGTTTGCTGTAAATACCTTTCTCTTTCTTTTCTTTCCTTCTATAAATCAATGTGCAATGCATTTTTAGAACATGGCACTTGCTAGTGGAGGATGTATAAGAGTTTGATTATGCTATGAGTTTGGGTCAGTAAACTGTAGGAAGTTTCCTGAAACTAAAATGGATGTGAACTATCAAGATTTTTAGTAGGAGAACGGGATTTGAGATGGTACCTTTTCCCCTATAAGTCTCTGTCCCCACTAAATTTGTTACACAGACAGACATAAGTTATGAGTTAGTGATGCGGTTTGTCTTTGATAAATGTCGCTTAGCCTGAAGTTCACTGTTTTCGTTTGTTTTGTAGGTTGATCTGGAGCATAATCAGTATAGATCTTTTCAAGGATTAACATGCTTGATGCAAATATCTACCAGAACGGAGGATTATTTAGTTGATACATTCAAGCTTTGGGATCACGTTGGCACTTATCTCAGGGATATCTTCAAAGACCCTAAAAAGAAAAAGGTTTTCTCCAAAATTCTTAAAGTTTCTTTCCTCAGTCAGACCCCCTAGATGTAACTACTTCAACATAAAGAAATTTTAATTTAACTAGGTAATGCATGGAGCAGATCGAGATATTATTTGGCTTCAACGTGACTTCGGCATATATGTCTGCAATCTCTTTGACACAGGACAGGTTTGATTTCTGATTGGTTTGGTTTGTCCTCGCAAGCCATGTTTGTTGTAGGCATAAAAAACCAAACGCATTTTTGTAATGTTGAGGAACGTAGAAAAAAAATTGAAATATTTTTACCGTTTGTTATTTTGTCCATTATCACGACACTGGAATAGCATTCATCAATTTTCGCAGGGTCATTTAGTAATTTTTTTTTTACATTCTTATGGCTATTAAATGATAGTTTTAGTACTCGGCTTTGAAACTACCTTAAGCGCTGCTTTTTCGTTTTCTGTCAGTCATTTTTTGGGAATATTGATTATCTTGAATCTTTCAGGCCTCAAGGGTACTAAAGCTGGAGAGAAAGAGTCTTGAATTTCTTCTGAAACATTATTGTGGAGTTGCTGCAAATAAACAGTGGGTCATAATCCAGCCTTGGTTAACCTTTGTTCTTACGCACTCTCTTCATTCAACGTCTATTTTCTCAATTTGCTGCAGATACCAAAATGCAGACTGGAGAATACGACCCCTTCCAGATGTAATGACAAGGTTAGTATATTCTCTGTTCTCTCTAGTCCCTCGTCATTATTGTTACATTGGGTGAGTGGAGCTCATTCGTTTTAATATGGTGGCAGATATGCTAGAGAAGATACACATTATCTGTTGTACATTTATGATGTGATGCGAATAGATTTGCACACAGTAGGGAAAGAAGACGAGAAACCTGACTCCCTTCTGGTAGAGGTGATAACCGTTAGCTATTCTCAAGATTGTTTTATTCGCATATGCATCTTATACCAGTATTCTGCTATCTACTATTTGCTGTCTGTATTCTGTTGCCTTCGGTGGATGCATCGTGTTCTTTTTCAGTTTTTGGATAATTATTTTGACGAAGTTGCTGGTAACAGGTTTACAAGCGTAGCTATGATGTGTGCATGCAACTATATGAGAAAGAGCTGCTGACTGAGAGTTCATATCTTCACATTTATGGGTTTGTTGCTTGTTGTCCCTTCATGAAAGAAATATACTCGTTAGTTTTATTGGTTGCCTGTTGTACATGGTTTTTGGTTATCCCTTAATCGTTTTCTGCTTTTTATGGTAAGTGCAGTTCCCAGTTAGATCTTAGCCTCGTGCATGACATAGCTACCTAGATTAATCTCTCGTATGCTTTTCGTTTGGGCATTTACAGGGTTCAGGCAGCTAATTTCAATGCAGTTCAACTTGCCATTGTTGCGGTATTTTCTAACTTGCGCACAGCCAAGGCCATCATATTATCATATGGAGCTTACACAGTGGTTGCTGCCTCGCAGGGGCTTTGTGAATGGCGAGATAGGATTGCACGAGCAGACGATGAGAGCACTGGTTACGTATTACCAAATAGAACTCTTCTTGAAATAGGTAGATATTTGACTTCCACATAGCCAGGTTATTGGATATGTTAATTGGTTTTGACCTGGTCTGATTTATTATAATTAATAATAATAGCGAAAGAGATGCCAATCAATGTGGGAAAGTTGAGACGGTTGTTAAAGTCAAAGCTTCCTTACATCGAGCGTAATGTTGACGCGGTGATCAGTGTCATCAGGCGATCAATGCAAAATGCAGCGGCCTTCGAGCCAGTTGTTCAATCTTTGAAAACATGGCATCCTGGAACGGTAAGACACTTATTATGTTCTGAATTCTTATTTATTACTCTTTTGGGGTTCGTTCTGTTTATATTAACACTATAAATGTTTCTTTGCCTTTCTGTCCTGCGGTGGCTTATGGCAATGTTGCTTGATAGCGTATTTGGAAGATTTCGTTTTGGAGTATTTGCCTTTCAAAAAGCAATTAGCTTTATGAACTAGAAGTTTGCTTGATTAAATTGACAAGTTATGAAAAACAGTTTTTCAGTCTAGAGGTTTATTAGGATCTAAATCCTGTACCGTTCAAATGGCGATCACTAAAATTTATAGTAGTTTGGTGGTGCATAACCTTGAGATCATGATTTTTTTTTTTCTACTTTCGCTTCTTAGGTCTTTGACAAGAATATTGAAAGCACCATTGAGAAAACATGCACAGGAGCTGTTGAAGCTTCTTCTGTGAGCTCGAAGACGTTTTTGCAGGTTGAAAATAACATTGGCGGGGTCAGGCCCACCGGCTTGTATGGTTCAGGAAAGGTGAACCTCTGTTATAAATTGCCGTTTTCCAAATCTAGGACAAAAAAAGTGATTAGAATATTTATGTTAGGTTAGCGTGGATGTTTCAAAAGGACAAAACGGTGGTTTTGGAACTTTGCCTTCAAAGAGGAAATTTGGAATTGAGAACAAGGTGAGAAGTAATATTTACGTAGAGACTGAAAAAAACTCGGATCACTCGGTTATTACAAAATCTATTGACAATCTGCAGGCAAATGAAGAGGTCAAAGTGTCAAAGTCAAATCCAGATGAGGTAATTATACTGTTGGATGACGATGAGTCTGATGATGAAAGATTGGAACTTGAAGATGCTGCGGATAGGGTTTCAGAAACGCCTTTTAAGGGACCTGATATATCAATGAATCTGAAGACATGTCCAGATATTATTGTGTTAGATGATGATGACTCAGATGATGACTCAGATGATGACTCAGAAACTGGAGAGGTTAGGGAAATGGAAGTTGAAAGGATGAATATGATAAGTGAACAGCAGGAGAAATTCATGAGTTTGAAACCGGGCTTTCTCAACATTTAGCTGTGTGATTAGCTTTTGTAGTAGAGTGTTTCAATGCATCGTGTCTGTCCCTTATTTTGTATTTCCCTATGTATGAGATACAATGTCTTTTGACTTGTATGTTAATGTACTCAGTGGCTGATGTAGGATCCAAATTTGGGGGTGTCAAAATTAATGGGTTTTTAAATCCAAATTAAAAATAAGTAAAAATAAGGTGTGAGAGAGGTTTAAACCCAGGTTTTAAGGGTGTCATCATCGGTGAAATACCACCATAGCTGTTGAATTTCACTTGTACTAGCTGAAAAAATCACATATTTATTTTTTAATGTGTGTCAGCTGACACCTCTACTAAACAAGTAGATCCGCCACTGAATGTACTTTTAGTTATCTCGAAACACAACATAACATTACGCCGAATGGAAAGGCATATTTGTATCCGAACTATGTATGATCTTTGTATTGAAGAGATGATTTTATTGAAAGGTAATGAGTTACATATATACATGAAGAGCAGTAATGTGCAAGGCAATCACATATATTTACAATTAATGAAATTGATACGAAGGAGACATTGTAGGAAACTAAATATTCTTTGGAGACGTCGATCATGTCACGTAACATGAGAAATCGTTGACGACTTAGTGGATTTGTAAAACCATCAGCAAGCTGATCATGAGTTGATACATGGGAGACTCTGAGATTGTCAGCTTGAACTTAATTTCTGATGAAATGATAGTCTAGTGCAAAGTGCTTCATTCTAGAGTGAAAAACCGGGTTAGCACATAGATATGTGGTGCCAATATCACAGTAAATGGTGGTAGCGTGTGTTGTTAGATACCAAGCTCTTGAAGGCAAATGACCAATCCAGTTGAGCTCAAATGCTGTGTTAGCAACTGACCTATATTCAGCCTCCTTTGATGAGCGAGCAACACCCTTATGCTTTCTAGCTGACCATAAGATAACATGCTTGCCAAGGTAGACAATATATGCATTTGTGGAGACATAGTCATCAATGTCTCCCGCCCAATCGGCATCTGAGAAGGCATGTAGGGAGAGAGGGTTCGACCTTCTATTGAAAAGACCATAGGTGGGTGTTCCAACTAGATACCGAAGCACCCTCTTTGCTGCCTGCCAATGATCAGTAGTAGGTGAATGCATGAATTGAGAGAGCTTGTTGACGGCATATGCAATGTCTGGTCTGGCGAAAGACAAATACTGGAGACTGCCTACAAGGGTTTTGTACTTTGTTAGGTTGTTGTGTGTTTTCACCAGAAAGAACGATTTTCGGATCAGTGCCAAAGGCGTGGAAACCGGTTTAGCATCTTCCATTTTCATCTTGTCACTGAGGTGCAGATCCTGATCCGTTTTGATAACTTCAATGCCTAAGAAATATGAAAATTCTCCCATTTCTTTGAGTGAAAATCGTGAGGATAGAGCATTGAGGGTCCGTTCAACAAATATCTGATTGTTACCGGTAACGGTTCAACATAAACCAGTAAGTAGACAAGGGTGTCACCGTTGTGCAAACAAAGAGAGTTGTGTCTGCTACAGAGTTTTGAAAACCAAGCAGAAGAAACAAATTGTTAAGTTCAACGTACCAAGCTCTCAGTGCTTGCTGGAACCATGTATGGCTTTGTTTAAGCGAAAAATATGGTCTGGCTTGTCTGCATCCACAAAGCCTGGGGGCTGGCGCATATAGACTTCCTCAGTTAAGTTTCCTTGAAGAAAAGCATTGTTGATGTCGATTTGTCCCATGCACCAGTTCCGGCTTGTACTTACATCAAGAACAGTACGAATCGTCGTAGATTTTATCACCAGACTAAAGATTTCGAAATAATCGATACCCACTTGTTTCTTGTAACCTTTTGCTACAAGGCGCGACTTGCGTTTGTCGATGGTTCCATCTGGAAGATATTTGAGCTGGAAGAGCCATCTGCACTCAATAACATTGAGGCCTGGCGACAGAGTCACAAGATCCCAAGTATGTTTCTTGACATGTGCGTCAAACTCAGCAGAAGCAGAGATATGCCAATTTTTTTTCTTTTAGTGCCTGTGTGATGGTTGTAGATTCGGATTCAACTCCAGACAATAGAAGAGCTGCAAGACCATACTTCTTATTGGGTTTCCTAATGTTGCTTTTAGCTCGTGTCTGCATCGGATGTTGATTTTGTGGTTGCTCTGAATCCGCAGAAGAGTTCGAAGACGAGGATGACGCTGGTTCCTGCAGTGGAATGGCCTGTGACCCTGTTGTAGATGGGCTTGTTTTTTTTTTCGCCGAAGATTGATTTGAGCTTGATGTTTGTTGGGCTGTAGGTTTTGGGCTTGAATTTTCTGATCCAGTTGGCTGTAAATTGGAATTTTCATGACCCGATGAAGTTGAGTCATCGTTGTTGTCGCTGTTTAGAGGAGAGAGACCACCGTATTGTTGCTGATGAGTTTCAGTCGACACTGGTGATTGAGAGTTGCTGGGGGATTTTTCAGGTGTTGAATCAGAGACAGAGGGCGCCGCTTCTCGTAAGGGTGCCAATTGATCTTGAGTGAGAGGTGGGTTTCAGAAAGTTATGTGTGTGGGTGTGTTGAAGGTTCAAGAGTACAGCAGTGGGCATTCAATTGATGAGGTATACTGCAGTGGAGAAGGCATAGGAAAGTTATGTGGTTGAGAAGAGTGAGACCAGTCTCGACAATGTGTCGATGTTGTGTCTCAGCTAGGTCGTTATGTTCTGGGGTATGAGGAGGAGATGTGAGATGAGTGATACCTTTAGAGGAAAGGAAGTCGTGGAGAGTAATGAATTATCTCCATTATCAGAAATAATGTACCAACTTAGGTTTGAAAGTTATTTTCAACAAGAGTTGTGAACCAAATGAATGTTTTTTTGACTTGAGACTTTTAAGGGATAAAACCAGATGTATCTGGAATAACGATCAACAATGATTACGTAGTATTTGAAATTATCAGTAAATAGGATATGGGATGTCCAGATATCTGAGAATAGATACTGGAGAAGGCGATTTGAGGAGACTGAACTTTTTGACTGGTTCGAGAGCACGACAGTGGGCATTCTATTGATGAGGTATACTGCAGTGGAGAAGGCATAAAACAAGTATGTGGTTGAGAAGAATGAGACCAGTCTCGACAATGTGTCGATGTTTTCTCTCAGCTAGGCTGTTATGTTCTGGGGTATGGGCAGGAGATGTGAGACGAGTGATACCTTTAGAGGAAAGGAAGTAACGGAGAGTAATGAATTCACCTCCATTATCAGAAAATATTGTACAAAATTGGGTTTGAAATTTATTTTCAACAAGAGTTGTAAACCGAATGGATGTTTCTTTCACTTGAGACTTTAGTTTTAAGGGATAAAACCAGATGTATCCAAAATGACGATCAACAATGATTAGGTAGTGTTTGAAATTATCAGTAAATAGGATAGGGGATGTCCAGGCATCTGAGAATAGATACTGGAGAGGGAAATTTGAGCAGATTGAACTTTCTGAAAAAGATAGTTTATGAGTTTTATTGATCGATCAAAGAATTGCGACAAAGAATTGGAAAAAGGTAAGGAAAACTTAGATAGAATAGTTTTCGGAATGGGAAAATCTGGGTGGCCTAGTCTTGAATTCCAATCTGAGATGGTGGTTTTGAGGTTTGTGGTTGCTGTGAAGAAGGTAGAGGCGATTGGTAAGGAAGATGGCCACTGATAAAGCTCATTTTTGGTATTGCGTTAGAGTAATGGGACCTCCTGGTATCACTCAAATATTTAACCCTAAAGAGTGAATTACTCTCTCAAATAAGAGGTTCAGTCGTAGTACTTAGGGATCGAATCCACAGAGACTCTGGATTACACAATAGATTATTTAGTCTTTGAAATAAAACTAGACAGCAAGTTTAAAACAATAACTTAAAAGGTGACCAAGCAATTGCTTAATTGGTTGATTTGTTTGTTAAGGGGAAATAAGGTAGTTAAACTTAGGTATTTTCTCAGGTATGACAAACATGCAAGTTATAAAGGGTTTTTATTATTCATAGTTCTGATTCAAACTTTTAAGGATTTGAAGAATTAACTCTTACTGGATCTCGGATCAAGAACTATCGTTTGATGACCTTGAGTGAGTATCGATCGATTGTTCGATAGAAATATCGATCAATTATGTTATGCTATATCGATCGACAAGACGATCGTCCTGTCGAACGATATTGCATCCAGCGAGTTCTAACAACATGTTTGAAAGGTTTTCTAGTATTCACTAAATAACTTAGACTCTAGGTAATTGCCAAGTTCTCACTTATCCAAATTGATACTAAAATCAGAGGTAAGGGTGATCAATCCTTAACACTAGTATTTATGATGACTAGATTGAGAACTATATTTTAAACACCCTAATAATGGTTACTTCAATGAATGAGTCAACCTTAATGAGAAACCTAAATCTAACAAGAGAGACTACTCAAACATATTTATGCGAGACAAACTCATAATGGCCTGAATAATGCTTTAAGATAATAATAGCAAGAGAAACAATAAATAAGTAAAACAAGGGAGTTCAAGATCTTCTCTGGATTTGTAGTTCAGATCTCTCTCTCAATTCCTAAGCTCTTCTCAAAGTATAGCTAGATGCTTCTCCCAAAATTAGGTCTAAAAGGTCTCTGGAGAGGTCTGTATAAACTAGTACAAAACCCTCTTAAAATAGCCTAACAGGCGGCCAAAGACTTAAAGTGTAATTTATTAAAACTCTTGTGAAGCAATTAGGGCTTCTAATCTTCATTTAATCACTCGGAGGACTTCTGTAACGATTGATATAGAATGTCTTCTATCGATCGATGTGGGTGATCTTTTATCGGTCGATTGCTCTCAATGCACATCGGTCGATATCTTTAACATCGTTTTACTCATATCTTCATAAAGTGTCAATTTTGGCTCCATAATAGCCATTTTACACCAGTGAGTACCTGAACCTGTAAAAGCTCTAAAAAGACACTAGAAGTATCCTTTTGTTTCCAAAAACATATATAAATCATGGTTGAAAGTGGGTAAAATCCATGATATATCAACTCCCGCAGACTTATCCTTTTGCTTGTCCTCAAGAAAATAATAGAACATTGGTCTAGAAAAGGTTTGAAAGGCGGAAGCTCCTATAATTCTAAACTTAGAACCATCACCTCTTTACTTATTGCAAGCCACTTCAGATATCTATCAATCTCAGATATACATTACACCATATCCTAGCTTAGCAACCA